ACCGGTCTTTAAATCGAAAGCGGGGAAAAACCATTGTGATATTCGGAATCAGCACGTTCGATTACCCATTGTCAACTGAGTTTCAGCTCAAAAGCGAGGAGGCAGTTGGTGGCCTTCCCTCGTTAGTTGATTTTGAGTACTTGAACATGTATCAGTCTTCTTTCTAATGTTGAACAATACGATCAACCATTTTTACACAAATGCAGTCTAATTTTGAGGCTCGAATTCCTTCTGCAGTTCCTCCCAACGATCGAGAAATCTATATGTCAATAGAGGATTTGTCACTCTTAAGTCTATCTATCCTTAGAACACATTTATCTACATAACATAAAAAGACTAACTATAGAAAGTAGACTCTACTATCAACTTTACTTCAAACAGTATTTTCTGTGCCAGATGAATCTCAGTGATACCAACTCTCACACAAATTTTTTGCGGCATAAATGATATATGCAGGTAGAATAGTGTATTCTGTGCCACATGGGCACATTGTTTGAAGTAAAGGTGGAACTAGAGTCTACTTTCTATGGTTAGTCATTCTATGTTAGGTAGATAAATATATCCTAACGATAGACTTAATAGTGACAAATCCTCTAGTGATATGTAGAATTCTCGATCGTTGGGAGAAACTGCAGAAGGAATTCGAGCCTCAAAATTAGACTGCATTTGTGTAAAAATGGTTGATCGTATTATTCAACATTAGAAAGAAGACTGATGTATGTTCAAGTATTCAAAATCAACTAAGATGGTTCACACTCATAGCCCAGACTGTTTTGAACAACTATTATTTCAAGAATGTCATAATTTTGAGCTTTGGATAGCGCGAAATACTTTTTTTCTGAATGCCTCCAGTGATGAAGAACTTCGCATTTTAATGACTTTTCCTTTTGTCAAGAAATAACGGGCATGCAGATATCAAGAAAAGATAAAGATACGCTAAAAGGAAAAACTGTATTTTCACTGGTAACAAGAAAAGAGAACGAGACAACGAAAGACCATTGTATAGAGTGAATGTGCCTAAATAAAACGAAAAAATCGGATATTATTTTTAATTGACTACTGTCCATACTTGAAATATTTTTATATAGCCAGATACCGTAGAATCTCGAGCGTCGAATGTTAAAAGAATTTGAGAGTTTGGTCTAGAAATGGTCGAGTTATGACCTCCCGCATACGACAAAAATATATATATACGTCTGATTTGCATGAAGCATAAAGGGGAATAAGAAAACAAAAGACGAAATAGACAAACTCCTATTATTCGCAGTTTTACTGTCTTTATGCAACGGAAGCTCATTCTTTAGTTTGTTCGTTTTCTTTCATTTCACACGTTCGACTTCAACATCACAGAAATGAAACAAGCAACTACAAAGAAATTGTGCAGTCCAGCTTCCCCATAGCCCTTCGAAGAACCAGTCTTCTGGAAAACCAGTTTTTCAGAAACTCCAAAAAATAACCGAAGCCTTTCTTAATAATGCAGGATTGTAGCGCGCAAATTTCTGATTAAAATGCAACATGCCTCAGCTCTACACGACCTTTCTTTGCAAAGTTATAGAATTTATAAAAAAGTCCTTGTTACTCATTGTCAGCTCAAAGCTAGAGAAATAATTACTAGGACTCTTATAAATTCTATAGCATTGCAATGAAAGATCGTGTAGAGCTGGGGGATGTTGCATTTTAATCAGAAACGTGCGCGCTACAATCTTTCATTGTTAAGAGAGGCTTCGGTTATTTTCTGGAGTTTCTGAAAGTCTTACTTTTCGAAAATTTGTAAATTCGCGATCACTAAGAAAAAATTGTCACGAACGCATTTTTCACTTACAATCGCGACATGATACACCGTCCCGTACAAATCCTGTTGACCGTTCTGTTTTGCTTACGCGCCTGATATAAAACTCTTAGTGATTTTTCGAATAATTTTCAGTCTTATCACATCTTACGACATGACTAAAATAGTCATGCGTAGTCAGTCGCGTTGCGAGTACGCCATTCGTCTGCGTTCGCGCTAAAAGTAGCGTGGAAATTCTTGAATGATCGTTTTGTTTTACGCTCTTGTGTAAATATGTCTTCATATTTGGGAAGAAAAAGTTATTCTGTACATAATTATTTACGAAAGAATCCACCATTATGTATTGATGGCTATGGCTGTTATAAATGTAAACAAAATGTAAGGAAAAGTTTTCACCTAAGATCTTACAACATCTTGAGTGAAATATTGAAGGGTCCAGATTTCTGGCTTGTTTTTTCAAGATCATGTGACATTTATTGATCCAAGATCTTGAGTACAAGTATTTTCACTAGGATCGTGAGAGAAGCAAACACCGTTATAAATATAGAGGAAGTAAAAAACTTCTTTTAAACGTTAAAAAAGTCTTTTTTCCAGTTCTACTTTAGAATCAAAATGAATTACAATAATATTAAAACAATTTTTATTCTTATTCAATTAATTGGAATTTATTATTCTCATGTTTTGGGTTATAATGATGATGATGGTGATTCAACAGCAGTAGAAAAACCACAAAATCATTCATTATCGAAAACGCAATCATCAAATAGAGCATTGATAACTGAAAATAATACCATTCAAAATACCGAAGCCGGGATACCGAACAGTAATAAAATCGGTCGTGGTTTTGACCCACGAGGATATAGTCCAGTTTGTTATACTGCGGGATGTCAGCAGAAAGCTTTTCGTCAACAAATATTTGATTTAGTGTATACGAAATCAGACCCAGGTGGTTAATTATAAATTTCCATCAGAAGCACAACATGTAGTTGATGCTATAGAAAAAGAACATAAAGCAATTATATATTCAACAGCTAATGTGGTAAATTATGAATTAACTATGCATACGCCAGCTATGAAATTAAATAAAAATTTTATTACTACTATTAAAGATATGCCTTGTTGTAAAACTGATGCTGAAACACAAGCATATATAACAGACAACATATTTTCTGCATTTGGTTTATATTATGTACAAAAATTACGGTTAAGTGGAATTACAACTCAAACTCTTACGATTAGCAATTCAAGCGTTACCAAGTCGGGAATGGACAAACATAGTATGACAAATGCAGCAACTAATGGTTTCAGGAAATTTTTCAAATTTGAATTAGGAGCCACGAATGCACATGACATAGAAAAAAGTCGCGAAACAATGAAATCTACTAAAACTGAATTTCGAAGTATCTCAGGTAAGTGAATAATTGGTAATTTTAACGAAATCCTTAAAACGAAGTCAAAATTTTTTAATCTATTTCTATATCAATTCTATTTAATCTATTTTTTATATTAAAAGAAGTTATAAGCGCCATCGGCAAATGATTGCCAAGTATTTGTAACATGTCAAATGATCAAAGATGAGAGTAAAAGGATAGATAGGTATGTTTTCTGTGTCTGGAATATTTTTTAAATAAAAGACATTTTTGAAATCAGTCAGCATCTAATCTATGCTTAATAGGAGGGGGTATATTTAGGTGGTTTTTTTCAGTATATTGACCATTAAAATATCACCACAGTAATTCTCATATTTGTAACATCAGCAATTTTTGTTTTGAAATTTCTTTGTGATATACATGAGTCGAATAGTAGGTTAATTCCGTTTTAAGACCTTGCTGGACTGTTTCATAGAAAAACAAATAATAGGGGTCAAAAACCATGTAAAAATAGCACAGATCAATGTTAAAAAATAGAGTAGGAGTATTAGTAGTCCGCATACGAATATTCATATGGATGTGTAAATGTTGCACTATCTGCTGAGATTCGATTATAGAACTGAATTTGTATACTACTTGAATAATACTTTTGGCATCTCTCCTTTTAGGTGGTGATCCAGGAATCGAGTATCCAGGGTGGAAAAACACTACTGCATCGAATCCGGAGATTGTTACCTTTCGACTAAAACCTATTACTGATCTTTTCGTTGCTAAATATTTTCCAAAGGATACAGACATTAATGAAAAATCAAAACTAATTAAACAAGCAATGGACACATATCTTCGCACACCGATCATTTGTTATAACGGTTGTTCTGGACATGGTAAATGTGTTGCCACAGAAATTTGGGGATTTGGAAACTGTCAATGTAATGTTGGATGGACAAACTATGATTGTTCCAAACAATCGGAACTCTCTGTTGGAACATGGTGTGGATTATACAATTCTGTGATAGGGTAATTCTCGATACCCATGTAGAGACGGAACCGCAGGGAATGTATGTCAGGGTAGTAGCTTCTGTCCAAACAATTATGGAATAAACACCCTGCATCAATATAGAAAACCTTCAGGACAAGTGGTGCAACATTTGTCATGTGGACCACTCCAGAAGAGAATTGGCACTAGTATAATCGGTACACTATGTGGATTTACATTTCGTTATCATGAGCAAACCGAGTTGGTAATTCCTTGTGCTGGTAGAGATTCATATTTACAACCATGTCCATCGGGATATCAAAGGGCCGGCCCAATCCAGTATGATTTCGGAGTTCCCCCGTTTCCGTTTACAATGTTTTTTTGTTCTAAAACCAACCAAAAGATTAAAGATTTAACAGGTACACTTTGCGGAAGCGATTTTAGTTGGCCGTTTCCAAGAGAAATATTGGAACAAGCTTGTGATGGTTATTTTCCTAGTGCTGGCCAATGTCCGCCGAACTACTCACTCATGGTAAAAAATACTACATTTAAGTTGTCGATAGGGCTGTGACAGTTACCAGTTACCGTTACCAGCGTTCTCCGTTAGTAGAGGTAACGGTAACTGATATAAAATTAATAAGCATCGTTCCTCGTTACTGGAGGGTAAAGGATTTCTTACTGTATA